AGGGCGGAGAGCCCAGCCGGGCTCTCCGCCCTGTTCCCAGCGCTCTGGCCGCCGGGGAGAGCGGAGAGCCCTGGCCGGCTTAGAAATCATGAGAGTTTAAATCACAGTAAAAGTTGTTTCTCTGTCTTCTGGTCTCTGAGCTGCTAGGTCGCCCTCAGCTCATGCCCTCAAAAGGTTTTCTTTTCAACCAGGAGGGCTAGAAAGGCCAGCTGAGATTCTCACACAATCACCTGACTCTAGGAGTTGGGGCTTGCAGAAAACCACCAGCTATCGTGAAACGTGCAGATGCCAGAGCTGGCCATGCTGCAGTAGGGGCTTCGAGGGAGTGTAACAGGATGAGCTCCACAGTTTCATTCCCATCTTTTCCCCTCGAAGCAGCAACGACTGCTCCAGCAACAGCAGCCACCAGCTACCACCTCCATCCCTCAGCGAGACTCCACCAGCAGGGAGAGGAATTCTGGCCTCCCAGGGCACTGCCAAGAACGCCCCAGCCCTTGCCGTCTGGGGTCAGACTTCTGAAGAGCCAGGCAGCACCTCACATTCTCCTCCTGCCCCCTCCCATGCTGCCAGGACTCAGCCCCACGGCAGGCTGCATCTCCCCCTCGAGCGCTCCCCTCCCCACAAGAACCCTGCACCTGTGCCTCAACTGATCACGTTAATAATCACCTCCCTCTGCTCTGGAGAGCAGCTGCCCACAGCCCGGAGCTCAGGGGCTCCAGAACGCTCGCAGGCCCCTGGCTCGCTGGCACAGCCCGAGCTCTTCACCACCAACTCACGGTAACCCAGCCCCATGACAACTCTCTCTGTACCTGGGGCCCCACCACGGCCAGTTCTGCTGCCCCCAACCCGCACCCGCCCCACCACACAGACAACAGGAGGAAACAAGCCAGGAAGCCCCAGCCAGTGCCTTAGGGTTGCCAACCTTCTAATTGCACAAAAACGAACACCCTAGCCCCCCCACTTCCCTGAGGCCACATTCCTGCCCTGCCCCTTCCCCGAGGCCCTGCCCCCCACTCACTATATTCCCCCTCCCTCGGTGGCTTGCTCTCCCCCACCCTCACTCACTTTCATGGGCTGAGGCAGGGGGTTGGGGTACGGGAGGGGGGTGAGAGCTCTAACTGGGTGTGCGGGCTCCGGGGTGGAGCCAGAAATGAGGGGCTCAGGGTGCAGAAGGCGGCAGGTGGTTGGGGTGTGGGAGGGGGTGAGGGCTCTGACTGGGGGTGCGGGTTCTGGGGTGGGGCTGGGGCTTTGGGGTACAGGAGGGGGCTCCAGGCTGGGGCAGAGGGGTTCTGGGTGTGAGAGGGGGCTCCAGACTGGGACTGGGGGTTGGGGTGCAGGGGGGGTGAGGCCTCTTTCTGGGGATGTGGGCTCTGGGGTAGGGCTGGGGATGAGGGGTTTGGGGTGCAGGAGGGGGCTCCAGGCTGGGGCAGAGGAGTTCAGGGTGTGGGAGGGGGCTCGGGGTTGGGGCACAGGCTTACCTCTGGCGGCTCCTGGTCAGTGGCGCAGTGAGGCTAAGGCAGGCTCCCTGCCTGTCTTGGCTTCACAATGTGCCCCGGAAGTGGCCAGCCGGTCCAGCTCCTAGGCGGAGGTGTGGCAGGTGGCTCTGCGTGCTGCTCTCACCCGCAGGCACCGCACCCGCAGCTCCCATTGGCCGCAGTTCCTGGCCAATGGGAGTGCAGAGCTCGTGATCAGGGCAGGGGCAGCAAGCGGAGCCCTGTGGCCCCCTCAACTAGGAGCCGGACCTGCTGGCCCTTCCAGGGCGCAGCGCAGAGCCAGGACAGGTAGGGAGCCTGCCTTAGCTCTGCAGCACCGACAACTGGACTTTTAACAGTCCGGTCAGTGGTGCTCTCCGGAGCTGCCAGGGGCTATTTTAGACCGGGTGTTCTGGTCAAAAACTGGACACCTGGTCATCCTACAGTGCCTGGGAAGGCATCATCGACAGCTCCCCACTACTCCCCGTGCAGAGCAATCAGCAAACAGCCTCCTCAGACAGAGCCCAGACACAGACACCAGGCCCTGAGTCTTACGCTGACCTAACTGAGATCTGTGTCCAATAATCCCCACACCATCCACTGGGTTATCGCTAACCAATCCCCCACTTGCTCTGCTCTGCTCCACAGCATCCTGGCTGGCTGGCAATGCAGGTTGAGGTTCACTCACAGCTGGTCCTGCCCCCATTCACACCCAGGGCACTCTATTCACCACCCACCCGCACCGAGGGGAAGGGGGGATAACCCACCTGCTCCCTTTGTACACATAGGGAGAGATGGTCCTTGAGTTGGAGAAAGGCAGGAGTATTAACGCCATTGTATACATGGGGCCACGTCAGGATAGTCAAAGGAACCATCTTTTGACCATTCTCCAGGGCTTTCCAATGCCCAAAGGGTTGGCAAATGGACAAAGATTTTTGGGTGTCATGGACAGAAGGGAAGGAGGTGGGATGAGGGCAGTGTGGATTTACCTCTGTTCTGGGCCAGTTAAATGTTCATGAAAGAACCACTCTCGGCCGTAAAACCTATTGTTGGGAACCTTCTCTCGCTCTCCTGTTTTAAGCCATGACCAAAGCGCCTACAGAGATACATGCACAGTTCAGTCATCCCCGCTCTGTGCTTTATCGAGTTCTACCGCCTCCCATCCCCCAGCCTCTCCATGCACTGGGAGTGATGGCATTCGCAGCTCACCTTGGACGCAGAACTTGAGTTCCTTGGCATCAGTGACCACCGTGGAGTGCAACTTTTCGGGCACTTTCTTGCTCATCCGGTTATAGCTGCGCTGTCTCTTGGTCTCGCCCCAGAGATTGGAGCCGCCATACATGCTGGGGATGTTGAGGACGGCGATGCCCTCCAGTGAGGTACTGCTCAGGTCCAGGAGCGTTCCGTCACACTGCAAAGAGACAGGCATGGTCAGGCATTAGACACTGACTGACACCCCGGGTTACGGACACAGCCCAGCGCTCTGATTGGGTGGGGCCTGTGGGCACACAACAGTGACACGAAGAAGGGACAGATGCAGAGCTCCCAGGAGCTGGGCTTGCAGAGGCATGTCCACTTCCCCAGAACTCCAGAGAAGGCCAAGGCTAGGAGAACTGGCGAGGTCCCGCATGCCAAGAACACCACCAGGAAATGGTCCGGACATCCTGATCTACCGTGCGCGGCTACAGGCACTGACAGAAGTGTAAAGCAGAGAGCCTCAAATCAGGCAACCACACAGCATTCATCAAAGCACTGAGTCGTTATGTGGCAAATGGAAAAATCACATCAGTCCCTTGAAATAGCACCGCTGCCTTTCTGGAGGACATGCTAGTCAGACACAAGTGGCTGGGCTCGATGCAGGGGCGTTCAGGTTGAAACACAATGGCCTGTGACGTACAGGAGATCAGACCAGCTGATCCCTTCTGGCCTTACGCTCCATGACTGTGAGATGGGGAGGCATGTCTCTTTGGGGGTGGGGGAGAGAAGAGGAGCCATTTTCATCTGAATGGCTAGTGATTTCCATGACTTGGCTCTGGCTGGGTGGTGAGGCCCAGCAGTGTGGAGGGCAGAGGACAGTGAACAGAACAGTGTATTCATGGCACGCGATGTCTGGCCCTGATTCAGCAAGGTACAGGTATCTGAGCACGTGTTTAGCTTTAAGCACATGAGAAAACCCATGGATGGCAACAGGGCTACTCGTGTGGTTCGAGTTAGGCACATGCCTCAGTGCTTTGCTGAACTGGAGCCAGAGGACAGAGCTGCTGATCTCTGGCCTGCACACACAGACTGCCCAGGCTGGGATACAAAAAGTTCAGGCTGCCACTTGGGGAGCAGGCAGCACACAGGGGGTCTGCTCTGGGTACCAGCCCCGCCCCATGGAAACAGCCTGGGAATCCTACCCTCAGAGAGGCCAGTGACGACTTGTGCCGCACATCGGTCTTTCCACCGGGTGTACTCTGCGTGCAGGCAGCAGTTCAGACCAGGCCGCATGCAGCCCCTTCACAAACAATGTCTGTTTTTCTTCCCAGCCCCGCGGCTGATAGGCAGGTAGCGCATTTTGTTAGTCTTTGAATGTATTCCATGTGCTGTTCAGAACTGCTAGAGGCATATGGAATGGACAGGAAATACAGCTCATCTATTAAATTGAAACTGGCACAACGTCCGCTACAGGGCCTGCCTTGCAAACAATGAGTCCCTGCTCAGTCACCCCCTTATGGAAAACCTGGGGAAACACCCAGACTTTGCATTGTGCCCTGAAGACCAACAGAGTCAGGTTGTCGTGGATTAAGTCAAGGGAAGTGAATTCAGAGTGTAGGGCCCTTCCCTGAGAATGCCCTGCCACTGACTCCTCGTCATGCATACCTACCCTCCGGAGTGCCAGCGGGGGAGCACCTTTGATCTCAGCATCACGGGGGTCTGACCCCATATGAAAGGTGATCTCCATTACACACAAACCCCAAGCCCTAAACAGCTTAATGCTAGAGCCCGTCAAAACAATTCCCCGCTATATGTAATTTCCATGAAAAGGGCTTTTTGTCAAACAACATTTTTCACAGAGTAATTTCCATTTCATGGAAACATGTCAACGAGGCCAGGAAACATTTTGCCCCAAACTGAAAAATGTAACTGAAAACAGAAATTCTGACCCCCGCCCCAAGTTTTCTGTTGTGGTCTTTTGAAATCCCCAAAAACATTTGCAGGACATTTTGATGAAAACAAAAATATCAATTTTTAAAAATTTCTCATGAAAAATAATTAGCATTTTTCAAACAGCTTTTCTTAAAACCAACTTGGGTGGGGGGCAGCTGTCAGCACTGAGCATCACCTCGTCTCTCCCGGATGTCAGGAGATGCAGATGTTATACAAGCACCTGACCTGGCAGAATCTTACATGCTATGTTATTGCAGTTGTGTGGGTCTCAGGGTATCAGAGAGACGAGGTGGGTGAGGTCATATCTTTTATTGGACCAACTTCTGTCAGTCTGTTGTTCTTCAGGACCTGAAGAAGAGCTCTGTGTACGCTTGAAAGTTTGTCTTTCTCACCAACAAAAGCTGGTCCAATAAAAGATATGACCTCCCCCACCTTGTCTCTCATGTTGTTGTGCGGGCATTTCTATTTTGAATATTGTATGTAGGGTGCGGGGAGTGGAGGGGATCAAATATAACTCTCAAGAACTCCCATCCTAGAAACACTCTCTCATTAGTCGGTTCTTTCTTTTGGCGACAAGATTTTTTTTATTATATATTTTAAATGAAAATTTAAAAAACCCAGAGAAGTCTGATTAGATATTTTTTCACATAATTTCCAGTGGAACTGATGTCACTAACTGGACAGTTTCTCAAATCACCGCTCACAGTTCATCATGTTCTATCTACAGCAGCTTAGAAAACGTCCACTGCTCAGCTACCTTTTCCTGTGGCCTCTTCTCTTATTATTTGAACGTACCTTAGAGAATGACATATTTTGGCTCGTCAAAGCCTTATTCCTTTGAGGACTGGATACTGTTTCTTCTAAATGCGATTTGGAAAATTGGGTTGACTTTGGCAGAAAACAATATTAAAGATGTGAAAGAAAAAATTGTCAATTTTGGAGCCTCTTTAGGAAAGCAATAAAGCATTCATTACTTGGAGTCCTTACTGAGGCGTCTCTGTGTTACACAGAAAAATTGCAACATTTGAAAACTACACGAAAAGGTATTTGTGGCTTTCCAAAGGACTAGAGGGAGGGACAAGTAAATAGAGTTTTTAATTGTATAAATGACTTTAATTCCTCTGCCAGCATTCAAGCAGGTAGAATATTTTATAAACAAAACAATACTTGGACTGTGGTGTCCATGAAGTGCCCCCTATATACTATTTACCCTGACATCGTCTTCTGATTGGGAAAGCTGATGACTTATAGGTGGAAAAATTAGGTGTGGTTTCTTCAAGGTAGAAGGTTAAAGATCTTCCTTGATATTGCTAAAACTACCACGCATGTAGGGGGAAAAAATCTTTGTTTGCATTCAAAATGTATTTCCTAGGCTTTAAAACATCTGTTCTTTTGCCTGCTAAGTAACAGCGGAGCAAGGATCAGAAATGTGATTTTTTTCTTGGATTTTGATGATGCTAGGGAATTTCTGTCCTCCGTGTTTTCCAAAGAAGAATGTGTGTTGGATAACGAAGAACTCTCTAATTCTCTGTGGCTAGCATTTTGACTCTTTTTCTTGCTGAGTGAGGACCTCAACCTTATTTTTCCTGGAATCATAGAAATAAATGTAGGGCTGGAAGAGACCTCAAGAGGTCATCTAGCCCAGCTGCCCATGCTGTGGCAGGACCAAGTAAACCTAGACCGTCCCTGGCAAGTGTTTGTGTAACCTGTTCTTAAATACCTCCAATGATGGGCATTCCACAACCGCCCTTATAGAATCATAGAAATGCAGGGCCAGAAGGGAATTTTTTCAATAATTCATGCTAAAGTTAGGACATTTTAAATATTCATGATAAAAAATTAGGAAATTGTAAATATTACCACATGATTATGTGTGTGAATCTGCCTGCAAATGAATATACCAGTATGCACACACACATACACACTTATCTTTGTATATGCAATACTTTTTTATCCCCCAGAATGCTTGGAAGTCTTCTCTTTTTTTAGCTCACCCTTGATTGTGAAAAGCCAGAAATGTTTTTTTATTTATTTTAAGCTAAACTCAGAATTTTGGGGCTTTGTTTCAGTTACTCATTCTTCAATATATTTTTGAAAATAATAAGAAGTAAAATATCCTCTAACATCTTGAAGTGCGTGTACAGTGCCTAGCGCAGTGGGGTACTGATCCATGACTCGATGCCGCTCAACTCAATGGCATTTCTCTGTTGGTCTTTAACATGAGAACTTCTGAATGCTGCGTCTGGTTAATTGCAGACTTCTAGGGTCTGTAAAGCTTCCAAGCTGCAGGTCACCAGGCAACGCTATGCAGGTAGAAAAAGGAAGTGCCAAAGACATGCTGATGCAATAGGATATGGCTTGTTTAGGGGCAGGAAGAACAGTAAGGGTCCAGTCCCAGTTGATGTAACTCAATGTAGCTCCACTGAAGTCACACAGATCATTTCCATTGGAGCGAATGGAGCTGGGCAACTGGCCCTTCCTGTTCCAGTCTTTCTGAGAAGTGGGAGATGGAGTGCAGGAGATGGACAAGGGAATAGGAGCCTGAGAGGACATGGAGGGACCTCTGACATACAGACATGTGGGGAGAGAACACTGGGATGCTCCTATGTACTGAGACTGGAACGAGCACGTCCACATTGGGTGGCGTGAACATATCCTGGGAGTGGAGATGGCTAAGAGGAAGGCTATTAAACACTAAAGCACACACACATACCCAGAGTGTCTAGCCAGCCTTTCAAGTGTGGGTCTTTAATGTTAGGTACGTGAGTCTGTAATTAGTTACCTAAACTCGGTTGCAGGCACCTAACTGCTAATTCATGTACACACTCATTTAGGTAGCTGAGTATTTAGAGCCAGATTTACAAAGGCAGCTGGCACCTAAAGATGCAGGAAGATACCTTGGGGGGATGAGCTATCCCAGGATAAGCACATTTTTACAGGTATTCCTGTGTCCATGCCGAGGGTGGGGTGTATTGCTTGGATGATTCTGGTATAGTCAAAGCAGTACAACTCTCTAGTGTCGACATGGCCTATAGGCCCTGTAGCGGGGCGGCCTGGCTCCCAGGCGCCCCTGGAAGGGACGAGCCAGAACAGCCGCCAGAGTGGGCGGAGCCACCGCCGCCTGTCTCCACCCCCCGGAAGTCAAGGGGCGGGACAGGAAGTATAAAGGCCAAGCCACAGCGCTCAGTAGCTGGCCGGCAGCAGGAGAGGACAGACGCTGGTGCCCGAGCTCCCGCGGGCCTGAGCCGACCGAGAGCCCGG